ATAACGTTTTGATAACTGAAAGATCACCAACTTTTTGTCTTTTGTGAAAATCATCGAAGAAGCAAAAGAGAGGAAACATAATGATTCACTGTCATAGTTTTAATTTTGGTTTTACAGTAGGTTTGAGTATTACTGGTGAAAATCATTAAATTGATTCCAGCAGCTGAGTCTATGGGAATGAAAAATGCACAGCCAAGAACAAAATCAGATGTTAAACCCATCTAAATCACAACATTTATGAACATGTGTAACACATGAGGCACATGGCTGTTGGCCAATGGTATACAGTTCATTTATAAGATTTCATATTGCACATTCCACACACTAATGTCATTCAGTCCCAAGATGAGAAATCGATTTCCTGCTAGGATGATAATTATCAGGAAAGACACAAAAAAAATTAGAAAAAGAGCTTTCAAAATGCATCAGAGGGACCTGAACAACATAAAGTCCTACTACTGCAATCTGAATTTGTTTAGTGAGATCAAACAAAAACAAAATTGATATAAACTATTCATAGTTGAGACTGCTAACCAACATTATAGACAATAAACTGAGTTTATGAGGTTCAAAACATAAAAATACAACAACAACAAAAAAACATGCAGCATGTTTGTGTAGGGGGGGGGGGGCTTTAAACACTGAACAATAAAGGCTTTAAGAAAAAACTGCTGGTTGTGCAGAAGCCCACACCAGTGGACACACTATGTGAAAGGTTATGGCAGTACAATAGCACCCCATCTACATGGGACAAGAAGAACTCTCTGGAAACCAACAAAGTCCATGCTCAATAATCCAGGTATACAATCAAACATTTTTCAGTCAGGTCATCTGGACAGTTTATTTTGTTGTGCTGAAACGTTTCACCTTCCATCCAGAAGGCTTCATCAGTCAAGGAAACACACAACACAAAACTGATTCTTCCCCCAACAGCTTACTCAAAAGTGGAACAAACCAGTTATGTTGGTGCTAAGATGGTCTCTTTGGCACACACCCTCTTCCAGTGCTGGCCCTCTTCCTCGTCGACTGGTTTGTTCCACTTTGGAGTAAGCTGTTGGGGGAAGAATCAGTTTTGTGTTGTGTGTTTCCTTGACTGATGAAGCCTTCTGGATGGAAGGTGAAATGTTTCAGCACAAAAAAGAAACCGGCCAGATGACCTGACTGAAAAATGTTGAACTCTCTGGGAAAGGAAAGGTGAGATTTGTCTGATCGGTGCAATAATCTGAAGTGTTCAGACAGTTTTCCATGCTGCCATAAGTATGAGAAAGAAAAACAGAAAGAAACCAGCGTGAAAGTGGTGATGTAATGTTTGGGTGATACAAACAAAACCCCCCTCCCCCCTCTTCTTGTCTTTCCTGCTCGCTTTTGGAGCCCCCACTTTCCTTTTTTTTTTCCCCCCTCTGGGGCACACAATCGAGCTGTCCAATTGGTTATTAGCACCTTAGAGATGCTGAGAATATCCACCAACCAGGGCCTAGGTGCCCCTTCACACCATTACCACAGCAACCCCTCACAACCAGAGCGAGCGTGCACACGAGTGTTAATGTGCACACCTATATACACAAGCCAGTTCATATGTGAGCTTCTGCTAGCAGCTTGACTTTTCATGTGTGTGACAGTTACACGAGGAGAACAAGTAACAGCAATCCTCCAGTGAATAGCCTTTTGTGAGTTCATGAACTGCAGAACGTGACAGGAGTCGTGTAGTTCAGGCTGTAATAAACAAGCTTCTTTTCTTCAAGTTCTGCCATAAAATATTCCTCTGCAGTCATCATGAGTATTAGCAGAAGAGACTGTTTTATCTTCATTTGAACATCTCAGTAACATGTTTGTTCTTTTTTTTATTTCATATCATAAAAATACACCCCATGACTGTTGCTGCAGGCTGTGCAGCTGCACGACAACTTAACATTTCTTCGGTTATTTCTGCCACTGATTTGCACACACGCATACACACACACACACATATATATATATATATATATATATATATATAAAGGAGGCTTATTAACCAAATTCAGTATTTTGCATAAAATTCCAGAAAAAAATCACCTTTTACAGGAAATCCAGTAAATCTTGCTTTTATTGACTAGGAGTCCATCCATCCATTCATTATCTTTACCCGGTTCTTTCTTGTTGGGTCGCAGGGTTCACTGGTGCCCATATCCAGCTACCACTGTGTGAGAGGTGGGGGACACCCTGGACAGGTCTCTGGTCCATCACAGGGACACATAGAGACAAACAACCATTCACTCTCTCACTCACACCTAGAGACAATCTAGTCACCAATCAGTCTAACATGCATGTTTTTGGTCTGTGGGAAGAAACAGGAGCACTCGGAGAAAACCCATGCATGCACTTAGAGAACATGCAAATTCCACCCAGAAAGGCCCCCGGACCAGGATTTGGATCAGGGTAACCTGCTCACTGAGAGGCAGCAGGTCTACCAACTGCACCACCGTGCTGCCTGACTAGAAGAGTCATTTCTCAAAATTTTGAATGAAACATTAAATGCAGCTTCAAATAATTTTAGCATTAGCTTTGCAACAGTACATACAGCTGTGGTCAGATATTTGCATACGCTCATCTCAGGCTTGAATGTCATAAAAATTTGGGGTTTTAAAATATTTATTTGAATTGTTCTTTTTCTGAGGTGGAATCATTATGCAACATACAAATTCAATGATTTTGGAAAACAAAAATAGTGTGCACAAGCTTGACTTTATGTGGATTTTTGACTCAAGTACATACACCAATATCTGGTTGATGTCTTTTGCACGTTGCATCACTGTCCTATAAGTGAGGGGGTCGGACTCTTAAGAAATGTGCCATGCAGCTAGCAGATATTTTCTGTTTTCTTTTTAACAAGTATCTCCAAACCTTTAGGGCCCCACAGCTCTAAGACTCTGTTACTGTTCCAATCCCAGAAACCAAGACTGCCCAGTCAGTGGACAACTTCAGGCCTGTTGCTCTGACTTCATTAGTTATAAAGTCATTCGAAAAACGGGTCCAGAAGACCCTCTTGTCAAAAGTTAAGGATCATTTGGACCCACTTCAATTTGCTTTTCGTTCATGTAGAGGAGTGGAGGACGCAACAGGAACTCTTAAATATGATTTTAGGACACCTTGAAGGTACAAAAACATTTGTAAGATTGCTTCTTATTGACTTTCATTTGCTTTTAACTGTATTCAGTCCCACATTTTAGTAGAGACATTACAATATCTGTACGGTCTCGACTCTGGCCTCATCTGTTGGTTTGTGGACTGTTTAACTGTTCGGTCTCAGCAGGTGAGGGTCAACGGGGTTCTCTCTCATGTCCTTCTGTCCTCTACTCGTTCCCCTCAGGGCTGCATTCTTTCACCTCCTTTATTCATTTTATATATAAACAATTGTCGCAGCCATTTCCCACAGCGTGACATTTTAAAGTTTGCTGATGACTCTGTCATCCTGTCCCTTCTGAGCAGTGATGACCCAGACCGCAGGCCTCTGGTCGGGGACTTCAATGAATGGTGCGAGTTTTCCTTTTTAAAGCTAAATGTTTCTAAGACAAAGGAGATGGTCACTGATTTTAGAAAAGACTCTTCAGTTGCCACTCCTGTGGTCATTAATGGTGAAGCTGTTGAGGTGGTGCAACAATATAAATATCTGGGAACTGTTCTTGATGACATTTGTTGGTTTGGACTTTTGACATGTAAAAACAGAAACAAACTCTCGGGGATTGTCAGGATGTGCAGCAAAACTGCTGGCATAGTTCTACAGAACCTCACTGACCAACACAAGGTGAGGTCAGTGAACAAGACCAGGATGATTCTGGCAGATCCTGATCACCCACTCCATGATGAGTTCAGGTTGCTTCCATCTGGACGGAGGTATCTGCTGCCCAGATGTAGGACAAACAGACTGACCTCATTCATTCCAGTAGCAATCAGGCGTCTCAACGAACAATGATGATTTCTGTACTGTTATTTTAATGTCTTAATGTCTTGTCTAGTATGGATGTTTTATACCTACTGACTGTGATACTGACTGCCCTTCAGGGATAATAAAAATTCTTGAACTTGAACTATAAGAAGACCCATCTCTGTTCAAAATGTAATCCTCTAGCAGTTGATTTAAGGTGAAATTGAAGACTTTGGAGGTAGCTCTACTCTCTTACTCATCCTACCACTACGTACAATACACCAGTAACAGTGGCAGCAAAAAAGCCCCACTGCATGATGCTACACCACCATGCAGGGCAGTTTATACAGTGTTTTTAGGTCATACTAACTCATAATCAAGATGTAATCATACTTTTTGTGATTCTGGCCAAATATCTCAATATTTGTCTTATCTTTCAAAACTCAATTCTTCTTTATAAAAAAATCATTGAAAATATATTTTGTATAAGTATTTCACATAGGGAAGCATAACGGTTTAAATCAATCATTAAAAGTCAAAACCCAAGATGCCATTCATGTCTATAATGAAAAGTATTCCTGTTGCAACAGGCTCTGTGTTTATATCACTACTGTATGTATTATAGATTATCTGTGCCTGTCACATTAGTACTGCAAAACTATTTGTGTCAGTATCATTAAGCCACTGTGTGCAACTCAAAGAAAATCCTCTTCAAGCAGCCAGGACCATAACAAGCTGCCTTACCAGGAGCCCTTCTACCCCACAAGGCAGCTCTGATCCATTCCAATCCCCACTGTGGGCTAATAGTAGCACCCAGCATGCTAACAAACAGACATGGGTCTTACAGTGTATCCGTCAAAGTATGAGTGTGTACCTTGGGGCTGAGGGTGTGACCATAAAAAATGCACTACTCCAGCCTACAAATGGCTAAACTCCTATCTTACACAAAACAGCTTTAGCAAGATTTATGGCCCTGACATTCCAGGTGAGGGCCATGTAATACAACACCCATTTGTACAACTACTACAGTTCTTTTTTTTTCCTGCTGCTCTTACACTTGCTGGGCTGTGTTCCTGTGATCGAGGTATCCATTTCTTACCGGTGCAGGTGAAGCACTTGACGTGAAAGTGAGTCTCTTGAACTCTAACCACTTCGCCCTTGCATGCTTCCCGACATCGCTGGCATCGGATTGGCTCAGAGCTCCTCTCAGTGCGCGCGGAACCTTGTTGATAAGCTACAAAACACAAAAAGACACATTTTTATTCATTTAGTCATGTTAAACCAAATAATATGTTCAAAAGTCTTTTCTGTTTATGATCATTGTGCTAATTTATGTAATTCCATTTTTCCGTCCATCTAATGCTGTTGATTTTGAAGTCTGTGACGTTGCAGGGCCTCACTCTTTCTTTGCATGAATTTTGGATATGTTCCAAAATTTCAAGATAAATTTTATTTTGAAAATAGATGCAAACATTTCTGGAACCCATCTGAAATCTGTCTCTAATTATAAGGTGCTAGAGCACAATTTTTACTCCAGCAATTGTAGTCCAGTAAGATATTGGCTTAACACTAAAAGAGAAGGAAGTTGTCCTAGCTAAAACTTAAAAACAATAAGCAAATAAACAAACAAACATGGGCACAGACTGAACAGAAGCAGAACTCATTAGATATTGCCTGTTTGTCATGATCAGGCAACAGGTTTAAGAGTGAAACTTAAAACATACCTCTCCCTAGCAACACTTTACTGCTCCTCATGAATGATTTCAACTTTTGGATATTTCTGGGTCTTAACGGGAGTTAAAGCTCAGTAAGGACGGGATGGGAAGTCTGAGAGTGTCATCATTGTATGTTCCCATACAATGGCGAAATTAGTTCTCTGCATTTAACCCGTCACACTTGAGATACACCCAGGTGGAGAAGTGGGCAGCTATGTTTGTATGTGCCCAGGGAGCAATTAGGGATTAGGTGTCTTGCTCAGAGACACCATGACATGTGGGAATGGGAGTCGAACCACACTTTTCTGGTCTCAGGTCGGCTGCTCTAACTCTACCCCATCTTGCCCCCAGTAAGCACCCTAATCAGATTCCTGGACCACCTGAGTTGTTTCCTTTTGCTGTAGAAGAGCAGTGATTTTATGTGAAGCTCACCCTGGATGACGGAGTTCCTCATCGTATCTTTCATCCTGAGCCCAGACACCATACAAAGAAACACCATTTCAGCCAATTGTTTCCAGGATTTTGTTCTTTGGGTCATGAGCCATAGCTTATGGCAATAAGTGAGTGCTGAAATGTGGACAGAGAAATAAAACCGGAGCTTTGCATTTAAGCTCAATGCTTTATTCACCACAACAGACTAGAGCAACACCCCCATTACTGCAGAAGAGGCCTGTTGATCTATCTACTGCTCTATCTTACCATCAGTTGCAAACAAGACTCCCAGATACTTGAACTCTTTCTGTTGAGGAATACATGGCCCCAGCCTGAAAAAAAAAACATTTAACCTGAGTCTATTTGAGAATCGTGGCCTTCAACTTAAAGGATCACTAATTATTAATACAAAATGGCGAGAATTTTTCAGCAGTCAGTCTTGTTTATGAGATATACTGTTTCAAGAATGGCTCATTGGCATTGAACATTCAAATCTAAATTTATTTTAGCGTCAAGCTTAATAAAGGTGCCTTCCATTACTAAAATGCTCTAAATGTGTTCATGTGTTGGTCCAAAACTGTGGCCTAACTGCACAACAGTCTGCCGTTTCCATGATAAGATCTGTCTGTAGCACTCGCTCTGAAGCTGTGAGGTCTGACGCCTATAAGCTGGGTAAATTCCAGACTTTCTCTCCAGCCGTCTCCATTTTTCACACACTCATACACACATGCTGCAGTGCCACTTAAGAAGGCGGAAGGATCTCCTTACCTCATTATGCATTAGCTTACAAGTCTGACTCCTATGAGCTCACAAGATATTTCACACAATCAGGAAAGCAAGCTCTCACAAAATGCCTAGATGAATAAATGCCATCACAATTTTTAAAAAGCCTTTAATGCATTTCACTTTCATTTGAAGTAAATAGACTTCTCTTAGGCTATTAGACTCTTAAAGGACCATTAGTGTACTATGTTGTATATGTTGTAGTAAGGTTTACAATTTTCTGTTTGTACTTGACTCTGTGCCAAAATAACTTGATAACAGTTTTTATCACCATCTGTGCACAAGTGGTTCAATAATGGAAGTATAACCAGCTGGAATGACAACCTAAATAACTAATTGAATAACTTTCAGTCAAAGCATCACTATCATATGGGCTGGCACAACAAAGCAGCTGATTTAATTTAATTTAATTTAATGAATCCCACAGGGCAACACGGTGGCACAGTCAGCAGAGCTGCCTTCTCTCAGCGAGAAGGTGGCCGGATCGTATCCCGGCCAGGGAGACATTCTGGGTGGAGTTTGCATGATCTCTCGGTGCATGTGTGGGTTTTCTCTGGGTACTCCGGTTTCCTCCGACAGACCAAAAACATACGTTAGGCTGATTGGTAATTCTAAATCGTCCCTAGGTGTGAGTGAGAGAGTGAATGGTTGTTTGTCTCGTTTGGCTCTATGTGTCCCTGTGATGGACTGGAGACCTGTCCAGGGTGTACCCCGCCTCTCGCATATGACTGATGGATATGGGCACCCATGACCCGAAATGGAAAAAGTGAGTAAAGATAATGGATGGATGAATCCCAAAGTACTTGTATGATCTAAAGCCTGAGGACTTCTTGCATTTCTGAGTTTGAAAGCATTGTTTTTTCTGAAACAAGCAAGGTCTTGTCCGAAAAAGACCCTGTCTGGATGGAAGCATATGTTTTTCTAAAACCTGTATTCATTCATTCATTAACCTTTATTTAAACAGATAAATCATATTGAGTCTCAAAGATTCATTTACAAGTGCAACCTGTTTGGACAGACAATAAAAGTGGTAAACTGGACTCATGTTGGAATTGGAGGCGAAAAAATTCCTATCAGACTTTTTTTTCCTGCCTGAGAAAAAAACCTCTGATATTAAAAAACACCTCTCACAACCAGCACATAGTGACGTAGACATTCTGCAGAGGGGGATGACGAGAGTGGTGAGCATGTTCATAGATGCTCTCGAGGGCACTGTAAGAGTTCTGATAAGGATAGAATAATCAGTCAATGTCCTCTGGTGAGATCCATAAACATTCTTGAGGTATGTTGAGGAATGGCCAAGAATAATGATTATGAGAATCCAAGAGTCCTGAAATGATGACAAGTTTATTCAGCTGGTTTCTTCTGGTTATCAGTTGGAAATTCCTCATGGAGGGGGTGGTGAACATCAGATCACATGTTCTCCAGGCGTATTCAGATAAGATGGCCTTCAGGGCCAGCCAAGGGAGCCAAATTCAGATAAACACACAGTTGTTTTGGGGACAGGCAGAACTTAATGACATCTACCTTGAATCTGTGTTGGTCCACTCGGTTCTGAAATGTCCAAATTACATCGCCACACCAAAAGAACATGCCTGAGTAAAATCCCCAAGATCTGATTCATTCTGCCCAAAGCATTTGAGTCTGGGTACTCGAGACACGAACCAAGCCATCATAAAGGCAAGCAGCGTGATCGGGTCCAAATTTGCTGCCGACGACTTCCTTGATTGATTGATAAAACCAGCAACCAGCCAAATCCAAAAACCAGGAACCAGTTATCAAAAATCCAATTAAATATGCGTACTTAATATCCACAAATGGCAGCAGAGATAGACACATCATCAAGTCTTCCAAGTCAATGAGATATCCAGCTGCGTGCGTGCCAACAGGGCAAATCGGCTCGCCTAAAGCCTGTCTTCTATTCGAAGAAATGTTGTAAATTGAGTTGAGGGACCAACTGATAAAAACAAGTCCATAATTATTGTTCAGAAGAAATGCAAGAGAGTCTCACAATCAGTTTCACAGACAAACAGAGCAGCAAAGCAAAGCGGAGAGGGAGGAGAGAAGCGTCCGATCTTGGCAAGAGCAAGTGGTGAAGTGTATGTATGTACTGTTTTTTGTATAAATGCAGTATAGTATTTGTACTTTTGCAGCAGAACAAGCAGGTAAACAGGAATACAACAAAGATCTGTGTCAGGAAGTCCACTTTTTCCTCTTAATGAATTTAATTTATTAAGAATATTCCTTTATTCATTTGTGTGTCTGAACATTTGTAGTCACAGTTATACCAACTGTGATTAAATCATTTCAAAATGTAAAGAATATTTGCAATGACCGTACAGTATTTTGAGTTTGTATTATATCACTACAGGAAACTATTTAACTAAAGGCATCACACAGTCAGTGTGCTTACAGCTGTAATACAGAGGGAAATAACTCATCTTTTTTTTTTTAACTTAATTAATAATGACGTGTTCATTTTAGAGCTTGTTACAGAGGATAAAGAAATACTTTCTGCATTTCCTACACAATATTTTGTATTGCTGAGTTTGTTCTGGGTGACGTGTGTCACAATGTGGTCACAGTTTGGAATGTAACAGGTTAAAAGGTGCATAAATCTGATGCAGTTTGTGATTTTCTGTGCTGGTTTGTATTACCATGATGTCCTGACAAACAAGCTGCAAGTAATAAGAAGCAACATTGTATTCTGAGAGCAAATGTGTGTGGGAAAAATGTATGCATAACTGTGGTTGTTATTTTCCTGCTCAGATGCTCAGGACACAAGTGTGAGTGCTAGAAAGTGCAACAATGGTTCCCACGTTATATCTCCCACAATCCATCTCTGGAAGTTCATTGTTTCACTCACAATGCTGGCAGCATGGCAGCACCGCTGGGAGCAACTACCCTGCCTGATAAGTGCTTGGCTACTAATTCACTTCCTTTGTGCATGTTTATTTATTTATTTACTTTTTGCTTCTTGTAAAACTAAATGAGCTACAGTAATCCCATCAGGTGTGAATGTGAGATAATGGAAGCTAATAGTTGTGAATCTATTGGAAACACACACAGGACATTCATTTACTCTGCTGACCTCCAGATATCGGGCTAAACAAGCTTAAACACATTTTAACATCCTGTGAGTTCAATCCCAGTCAGCCTCAGTTATGGAAAAGGATCAACAACAAACCTGACAAAGGTACGAGATAATAGCCATAAACATATACTGAAAGTACTGATAAATATTAAAGGTCTAGCATTTACTGAAGATTGCACATTGCCTTTTGTGACAGAGTGCTACATTTAT